ATATATATATATATATATATATATTTAGAAATGTTGGCTAACGGAAAAGTATGAACATGAAAAGTATGAGCATGTACAGCACGCAGTACTTAGTTGGGGCTCCTTTTGCCTGGATTACTGCAGCAATGCAGCGTGGCTTGGAGTCGATCAGTCTGTGGTACTGCTCAGGTGTTATGAGAGCCCAGGTTGCTCTGAGTGGCCTTCAGCTCTTCTGAATTGTTGGGTCTGGTGTATCGCATCTTCCTCTTCACTATACTCCATAGATTTTTTATGGGGTTAGCGTCAGGTGAATTTGCTGGCCAATTAAGAACAAGGATACCATGGTCCTTAAACCAGTACTGGTAGCTTTGGCACTGTGTGCAGGTGCCAAGTCTTGTTGGAAAATAAAATCTGCATATCCATAAAGTTGGTCAGCAGCAGGAAGCATATAGTGCTCTAAAACTTCCTGGTAGATGGCTGTGTTGACCTTGGACCTCAGAAAATACAGTGGACCAACACCAGCAGATGACATGGCACCCCAAACCATCACTGACTGTGGAAGCTTGACACTGGACCTCAAGCAATGTGAATTCTGTGCCTCTCTTCCTCCAGACTCTGGGACCTTGATTTCCAAAGGAAATGCAAATTTACTTTCATCATAGAACATAACTTTAGACCATTCAGCACCAGTCCATTCCTTTTTGTCTTTAGCCCAGGTGAGACACTTCTGACACTGTCTCTTGTTCAAGAGTGGTTTGACACAAGGAATACGACAACTGAAACCCATGTCTTGCATATGTCTGTGCGTGGTGGTTCTTGAAGCACTGACTCCAGCTGCGGTCCACTGTTTGTGACTCTCCCCCACGTTTTGGAATGGGTTTTGTTTCACAATCCTCTCCAGGGTGTGGTTATCCCTATTGCTTGTACACTTTTTTTCTACTACATAGTTTCCTTCCCTTCGCCTCTCTATTAATATCCTTGGACACAGAGCTCTGTGAACAGCCAGCCTCTTTAGCAATGACCTTTTGTGTCTTGCCGTCCTTGTACAAGGTGTCAATGGTCGTCTTTTGGACAACAGTCAAGTCAGCAGATTGTGTAGCCTACAGAACTAGACTGAGAGACCATTTAAAGGCATTTGCAGGTGTTTTGAGTTAATTAGCTGATTAGTGTGTGGCACCAGGTGTCTTCAATATTGAACCTTTTCACATTATTCTAATTTTCTGAGATACTGAATTTGGGGTTTTTATTAGTTGTCAGTTATAATAATCAACATTAAAATAAATAATCATTTGAAATATATCAGTCTGTGTGTAATGAATGAACATAATATACAAGTTTCACTTTTTGAATGGAATTACTGAAATAAATCAACTTTTCATGATATTCAATTTTTTTGACCAGCACTTGTATGAGAAAACGACAAAGTTGACATTTTTAACTTAAGACAACACCTGAGTTTGGTCAAAATGGGTGTGAAGTATTGAAGCTGTACTAAGTAATAAATTACTTTAATACAACCTTGAGGGATTAATCAATTCAAAATAAAGCAACTATTAGTTTAAACATAATGTTTTAATGTTTCCATCTTTCATGTTCAAATGTGATTGTTTTTTCTCCTCTGTGACTGGCAGATGGAGAGCTGTATGCAGGAGTCTACGTGGATTTCATGGGGACAGATTCTGCTATCTTCCGTACTCTGGGGAAGCAGACAGCCATGAGGACTGATCAGTACAACTCCAGATGGTTAAATGGTAATGTCTCAACTCACTGTTTGCTCTGGCTTCTTTTATTCACTTCTTTGTCTTCATTTATTATTATCTTTTATTTCTCTGCAACGTTAATATATTTTTTTAAATATTGTAGCTTTAACATCTCTTGATACATTGCTCACTCATAAAGCTGTGTTATCTGAGATTTGTATAATTGTTGGACTCACTTCATAAAATTCACTTTTCTAATTATCGTCTGCATGCCGACAGAGTTTACTGCAGGGTCAATAACTCAGAGTAGCCTTTACTCTGAAATGCACTGTGATTGTCACTGTGATATTACTGCTGGTTGGATGCTTTTGGTTGATGTTGTCCAATCAATAACCCACTCTTGTCAGTGTTGCTGGCTCCCAGATTATCCACTGACCCTGTTACCCAGACAACAGCCCCCCGCCAGCAATGCTCTGATTCAGGACACCTGAGTCCTCCTAATCAGCCATTTGAAATGTCTCGGATAGCACCATCCCCCACGTTTTAGGGGTCCTAGTTACTCCCCCGTCCTCGTGTGTTTTGATTTGTCCTATTTGGGACTTCTATTTCTCACAATAGGGAAGAAGATTCTGTTTTATAAGTCCAACGATGCCCTGGTGAATCCGCCAGTGAGCCTATACTGTGATGTCTCACCGAGTGTTGCCACTAGAAAGAAACTGACATGTTTCTCTGGACTCATATTAAATTTGTAAGTGTGTTTAGCATTTAGGAACAAAGGAAATGACTTCTAAAATTCTTAGAAATTGTCTTGTTTTCTTAAAAACTATAAATAATTTTCACCTTCTAGGTAATTTGTCCTCACAAACTTTTTACACTCAAAATAAAATGTGGTTTGCTTGTGTTGTGGAAAAAAGGGAGATTTCCAAACAGACCAAGGTGTGGTTAATCAGATTTATTTGCAAAGCTTTGGAGAGCAGTCCAGCATTCACAGAACATTAATGCACTTACAAGATCACACTCTTGTCAATGCCCTCAGCCGTCTGAAACGCTGATCTGCTCTAACTTCATGAACTGGACAAGTTAAGTTTTATAGAATAACCTCCAGTGCCAGTCCCTTCGTCTGAGCTTCATCAAAGTCCGCTGAAGACAGTTAGGAGTGAATCTGAGTCAAGGACTCTTCTTTCAGGACACGTCGTTGTATCACAAAATTGTATCATATCCATATAATATCAGTCAAACCTTGAGGATATCGAAGCAACTACTGTATTTTTTGCACCATAAGGCGCACCAGATTGTAAGGTGCAATATCAATGAATGGGTCAAATTTCAAACATAAGACACACTGGTTTATAAGGCACATTAATCAAACAAAATGGGCAGTTAAGTCAAACTTTATTCAACGCATTCACAATAATTTTCAACATTGTTCAGTTGTAAAACATAAAATACAAAACAATACACTCACTTTTTCAGTTAATTCCTCTTCTACAAATCCATCAAATTCTTCATCTTCAGTGTCTGAGTTTGAGTTGGGCGAGTTCAGAATCAAGCCTGCCTGGATCCCTCTCATCATTATCCGAGTCAGTCTCATTGATGTTACTTGGCTGTTCAGTGACGATTCTGGCCTTAGTGAAAGCTCAGACGACACTTGAGACCAATACCTTAGTCCAGACATCCACAATCCATTGGCAGACAGTGGCGTAACTCACCCGGCGTTGCCTCCCTGTCTTTGTGAATGTGTGTTCGCCTTCTGTCATCCAACGCTCCCATGCAGCTCGCAATTTAACTTTGGAACAACCTGTTGACACCAATATCCAGCGGTTGGAGTTGTTTGGTTAATATGATGGCAAGCTCAGAATTAGTTTGCTTCACTTGGGTTTTCACAGTATCAGTGAGATTGGTGCACATGGAGTCGTAGATCAATAGAGACGGAGATTTGTGAAAAAAGCCATCCGGTCTCTTGACGTAAACTTCTCTCAGCCACTCACTTATCTTCTCCTCGTCCATCCAGCCCTTTAGGTTTACCTTGATGATGACGCCAGCTGGAAACTTTTCTTTTGGCAAAGTCTTCCTCTTGAAAATGACCGTGGGTGGTAGTTTCTGATCATTAGCCTGGCAACCGAGAACTACAGTGAAGTATGACTTCTCGTTCCTTGTGTTGCATATATATACCATACTGGTCCCTGTTTTCTTGACAGTACGGTTCACGGGGATGTCAAAAGTGAGGGGGACCTTCTCCATGTTAATGATGTGTTTTGGCCAGATCGTCTTTTCAGAGATCTTGTTCTTGCAGTAGGTGTGGAAAACGGCCAGCTTTTCTTAGTGATCCTTTGTCAGTTGCTGTGAGATGGTAGTTCTTGTGCGGATGGAGAGATTATGCCTTTTCATAAAAAGGAAGCACCAAGAAGGACCTCCTCAAAAGACGTTGATGTTCATGTCATTTGCTACTACAGTTGCCTTGAGTCAAATAGAGACTGTAGACACGCTTCTACCTGCTGTTCTCTGTCCAATGACCCACTGTTCAGTTTTGTACTCTAACTGTGGCCAACTTGCTTTGTTCCCTCGGAAACTCTTTTGGGTCTTCTTTACTTGGCGCAGGTCATCTTCTTGCTTCCTCTGATTTGTTAATGTTGAATTATCTTGCAGCTGCTCTATTCCCTTGTTCTACTGTGTGCCTGATAGTCTTGAGTTTGAAATCCATTTTGTAAGTATGCCTCTTTACAGGTGCCATTTAGTGGTCCTTATACCAGTATGTAGAAGCACAGTACCATAAGTATTACTCCGTGAGACTCCTGACTACAGTAGCCGCAATGCTCTGACAATCCATCAAGCGTTGCGACTATTTAGATTACCAAAGTTGTAGAATAACATTTTAACATGATTTTTGAGCGCCGTGTACCACATAAAATCAGTTCAAGGTCAGTAAGCACAACCACAATTAATACATAAGGCACTGGATTATAAGGCAAACTGTTGAATTTTGAGAAAACTAAATGATTTTAAGTGCGCCTTATGGTGCAAAAAATACGCTAGTTCTTTCTATTTTTCACTGACTGGTCACAGTAAGAGTGATTATATGGGACAGTTAATATCACTCACATCTCAGTACATCAGCAGGAGATTTAATGAGCATGCAGTGCAAATAATACACATTACCTTGACACTTGACACACAGACTAACCTGTATAAATAAAGGTTGAATGAACTTGACTGGGGCAGCACGGTGACGCAACTGGTAGAGCTGCTGCCTCTCAGTGAGCAGGTCCTTGGTTCAAACCCCGGTCCAGGGGCCTTTCTGGGTGGAGTTTGCATGTTCTCTCTGTGCATGCGTGGGTTTTCTCCGGGTGCTCCGGTTTCCTCCCACAGACCAAAAACATGCATGTTAGGCTGACTGGTAACTCTAAATTGTCCCTAGGTGTGAGTGAGAGAGTGAATGGTTGTTTGTCTCGTTTGTCTCTATGTGGCCCTGTGATGGACTTGCGACCCGTCCAGGGTGTACCCCGCCCCTCGCACAGTGATTGCTGGACATGGGCACCAGCGACCCCCGTGACCCAAAATGGAACAAATGGGTAAAGATAATGGATGGATGGATGGATGAACTTGACTGACCATTTAAAACATCAACAACAGCATGGTTCAGATAACAAAATTAAATGTTTGTTATTGTTGTTGTTGCCAGCACCCCTAAAATGGTCAGAAAATAAGCACTTGTCAAGAAACCACGCTAAGGAAATTTCAAGGAACACTCCAACTATGGAAAACATAAATTTTGACATGTTAGACAAACATTAACAGATTTCTTAACAAACCAACCCGCCAAAGAAATAACCGATCTAAAAGCAAACCAACAAACTCACCCACCTACCTCTACGTATGTATTCCCTGTTTTACACATTGACATTGTCGTTTAGGCAAATTTTAAAAAAAAATGCTTGTCACAGAACATAGTACCCCAAAAATAGCAAAGACAAAAAAGCAACATTTTGAAATTTTTCCGTAGTCTACTGTATATCACTTTGCTTAAAACTAAAAGATGGAGATTTGATCTTGGCAGCAAAGTGCCCATGACCATAATCTCATTTAAGTTTGTGTTTAACTACATTGTGCAAATTTAAACAAGTACGTTATCCTTCTTTCTTTCTTTTCTACAGACCCCACTTTTGTGCATGCACACCTCATCCCAGACAGTGCTGAGAAAAATGATGACAAGCTCTACTTCTTCTTCCGCGAGAAAGCCTCTGAGGTGGGCCAGAGTCCCATGACGCAATCCAGGATAGGGCGGATCTGCCTGGTGAGTAATCACACTGGTCAACAAGTCCCACCAGTGAACAGTTTATATGTCTCCAGAATGCTAAAATATAGCCTTTTGATGGTTTTATTCATTTTTAGCTTCTAAAAGGAGAGTGTTGTGCTCAGCATGAAACTTCAGCCAACACTAGTTAATCGTCAAAAAATAAAATATTGGTCGTTTGTTTCAGTGTACAAATTTGATATAAGTTATCAGTTTCTCTGGTGAGCTTACTTTTAATTTATCTCCTAACACAGGCAGGGAATTTCCCCACTTTCATTTGATATTTGCATCATCATTATAATTTTATACAATGGATACCGTTCTCTGCACATGGCTAAACAATATAGTGTAGGTCATTGTTGTAAGACCTTTACATATTTTCTTGCTTTCCCATGGTTCCTGAGAAACTTGCAGCATCAGTTGTAGCATCTGGCTGACCTCTTGTGCAGACTGGTCTAATTGAAGTGATCATATTTGTTCATCCTGGCTCTGTGACAGCAGGCTCACGTTTGGTATTATGGCCAGTTGTTTCAAACAGCTGTTGTTCAAGTAGTCCTGCTGACTGATTCTTGGAGCATTTTTGAAGTAGACTCTTTGTGCATCTGCCTTACAGAATGATGACGGTGGACACTGCTGTCTGGTCAACAAGTGGAGCACGTTCCTGAAGGCTCGCCTCATCTGCTCTGTTCCTGGAGCTGACGGCATTGAGACTCATTTCGATGAGCTGAGTGAGTTATTAGTGTTGTTTTCATAGAAATAAGATAAACTATGTAGAATCCAAGAATGTTTAAGTTTTAGCTCAAGGTATTACTGTCACATACTAATCTGGGCATGGGTATTACTGTGATTGTTAATGTTGCTCTAGTACTGTGCTGATAAACTACCATTCTAATGTGATGTGATTTTTTCCCCTCATTTTGAGCACCTAGAAAAGAAAGAGCAAATATGCAGATATGTAGTACTCAAAGCAACAAACCTGGAGTCAGACCAACTTCCTGCAGATCATCTGAGACCATTTATTATTCACACGTCTGACAGGATTAAGTAGGAACATGTTGTGTTTCTAAAATGAAATTGTCTGAGTGCCTACCTTTTATATTTTAAAGATAAGTTTGGACTACTTTCCATTCGCTTTTGCAGTAAAATAACTAAAATTGTTTGTTATTTGGGAGTTAGATTCCAGATTTTACATTTAGTAAAAAATAAATTACATTCTATAGTGATATTACCATGAAGCTTTATAGGTTCACAGACAGATTTGACACTAAATTAAGTAGACTTTAAAAATAAGTCGTTTTTTTAAAGTCATGTAAAGGCAATATGATAGTAAACTATCATAGACAGGTGACAAGGTAAGGTTTTACATCTTGCCCAGGTACACTGACATAAAGATAACTCACTAAACCAGGTGTTGATCCACTTGTAAAGAACAACTTTTATTACTGAATTCCAGCTATCCCCTTATAGCACTGCTGTGGTCCTCAAATCCCCATTACCCTGAAGATTTTACACATTTCTTCACCACACCTGCTTAAAAATTGATGGTTTCATGTGCAGATTTTGCACAACTAGGGGGAAAGCTGACCTTTTTATTTTAGACAAGATAAAGATAAAGTAAGATAAACTTTATTTGTTACATGCACAACCATAGATAATATTATATGTAGTGAAATGTGTTATTGGACCTGCTTCCAAAGATCAGCAAATACTGTAAGTAAGGACACATGGGAAATTAAAGTAAAATTAAATGAGAAGGTTAATGCACACTTGAACAGGATGTAATATATACAAAAATGAAGAAATACTGCAATGCAAATCAGGGTTTGTTATTTCCAAATTTATTCATTCATTCACTCATTCATTCTGATGTGTTTGGACAGGAGGGCTAAGAACAAGTGAGACCACTTTTTTTTTTATCTTACTTTTTAGTATCTCTTAATATGCATTGTTTCACCTTCTTACACAGCCAGTCACCCCTGCACCATAGTATTAAAAATAAGTAAGAGACTGCATTAACCGTAGCTGTGAGCTGAATCCTTAACATATTTGTTGTAAGGAGGCTTTGCAGATGTGTTTTTTTTTAAGCATTAAGAGCACTCAGTGCCTGTGACAGAGAGCACTCCTCTGTCAGGGCTGCTGTACTTCCTGTAGTCTCTCGGCGGTGCAGCATGACAGCTCAATGCAGATCAGCACTCATGGTGAGGTTAATGTGGATCCTGAGGTGCAGCGTAACATCCCACAAACCACAGACAGTCTGCTGGAAATGTACTCTGTCTCCAGCCCTGCTGGTCCTGATGGAGCCCCACAGAGGCATCAGAGTGGTTGTATGAGGACTCGAGGGGGGAGACTAGAGTTGATTCAGATGGCAAAGTTTTACAGACGAGAAAGCATTTAGTGTTTTACCGACAAGCAAGAGGAATATAAAGGGACAGAAACACACACGGAAACAAAAGACAAAAAACATGAATGAATTTAAGGGACACAAAGTTTTATGGCTTTTTTTCTGTAATGTTGGAATGAGCTGAAACAGATTTTCCAAGTGCTTATATTCTCACGACAGTAAACCATAAAATATCTTTTCTCATCCTAAAAATATTTGTTTTTTTATTGTTGCTTTTCTTTATTTTTTAAAGGTTTTGTATTTTTTATTCTGAGCACTTTTGCTAATTTAGGTTCATGTCTAAAAATGTTAATATCCAGATAATTATATATAATCTAGAGTCAGTTTTTTCTTGCCTTGACTATTTACTGAGTGCATTATTACTTTTTTTTTCATCTTTACTATTCACAGTACTGTATTGCCTCCAGCAATTAGACGTTTCCCAGCAAAAGTGCTGCTTCAGATCCAGCACATCAAAGTCAGAAACAAAAAGTCAGAATGATGCAAATAGTTCCAGATCCTTCCTGATTTATTTCTTTTCTCTCCTCTCTGCAGCCAGCAGATTCGTCACATGGCGTCAGATGGGTTACGAATCTTTGCTTTGTTTGCCAAAAGTTAATTTTTGCTTTAGTAAGCAAATATTATCTGTCTTTTCATACCTTTTGGCATGTGAGAAGATTGTTTTTTTTCTTGAGAAAGCATGTTTAGCTTATGATAAATGACAGCTTGTTGAGCTTTGCGGAGTCAGAACTGACCCTTTTATGCAGTTCCATGGGTTTCAGCATAGCTAATTTTTGCAGGTTAAAATCAAAGGTTGCGTGTTACATTTTATTTGTTTGTGAGAGCAAAGTGTTGCTTTTAGTTTTACTGACAAGCATGAAAGAGATCTCTGTTTATGAGAGAAGCATTCATTAGTAATCTGTGTAACAGGGCTTTCTGTTCGACTGTAGACAATTATTATCCTATTTTTAAAAGCCTTTTCAAACAACTCCTCTGAGTTGTTTTTCTTAGTTTTCCACTGAAGCGAAACATTATATGGACCTGAGCATACTCGGCCTGTCTACTCTGAATTTATTTCACGTTTCCTCCGTTTTGTGTTTTCTTGAACTTCATCAGAGGACAGTCAGGGGGTAGCATTGCTTCAGTCTCACAATCACTGGATGCATATGGCTCCTATTAAAACCATGTTTCAACAGACATCTCTGTTTCACTTCTATTCCCCGCTGACACTCAGACACTGTAGTTTCAGGTTTGGAAGAGTTTAGATTTGAGATTCTCATAGAGGTTGTGGTAACCACAATCCTTGGGGAGCTTGTTCTTAACACACACACACACCACACCACACCACACACACACCCCTCCCCCCCTGCAAAAACTCTCCATATGTCAGAATAAGGTTTGCACTGAATGGAGCTGTCATAAAGTCGTGGGATCTTTTAAAACGAGACACTAATATTTTCTTCTCGAGTGTTTTTTTCATGTGAGAAAGTGTTCCCTTACGATTGTTTCTGTTAGTTTAATTTCATTTGTCTGAAGCTTAAAGAGGCTGACATCACAAACCAGTAACAAAAAAGTGTTTAACTTCACAACATACATTTATAAATGTTTTTTTTTAAATCATAGGTTAAACATTTAAATTTGTTTTCAGTCAGTTACTTTTATAGTTTAAGAATGCAACTAATGGCTTTAAATTATGTCACTATCTACAGGAGATGTTTATATCCAGCCAACTCAAGACACCAAGAATCCCGTCATCTATGGAGTCTTCTCAGTGTCAGGGTGGGTGTCTGCTTTCTTATTAGTTCAGATCTTTTGAAGTAGGAGTCAGTGGAAAGATATAGCAATTACAGTACCGGATTTTCCGGCCTATAAGTCACAGTTTTTTGCATAATGTACATGCCCTGCGACTTATAGGCCAAAGCGACATTTTTATGGATTTTTTCCCATATTTATAAACCTTTTTTTTTGGCTGAGATATGACTGTTTCCATTCATTCTGACTGAAAAAACAGCAGTACCACTTTCAGTCACTTGATGGCAGCAGAGTATTAATAATGTATGGCATGCTGTTGGCTGTTGTATCATGTAATAGGTAAACGTGGCTATAATGACAAATTGAAAAAAGTTCAAGACAAAAACAACTGGACTTTATTTATTATACTATACTTTATACTTTATTGTTTTTTCTTGAACTTTTTAGAATTTGCCATGTCCTGGATGACCGAGAATCTTCACCAGCTTCTAATGATTCAATCGGCTTACTAGTCTCCCCACCTTCATTCTGCTCTCTGCTTGGAACCGTCAAAACAGCTGCACCACCCCGGCAAAATGCAGCTGATTTGACCATTAAAGTGCATTTATTAAGCAAATGTTAGGCTGAGACACACCTTTGCTAAAATTTCGAGCAAATAAATAATTGTTCTGGTGCTTTTCTTGTTAAATTTCAGTGAAACAAGCCATTCCTCCTTTCTTTTTCTCGTCCTATGCGCGTTCATGGAGCACTGAGGCAGCAAAACTATTTTTAAATAAAGCTGATTTGACCATTAAAGTCCATTTATTAAGCAAATGCTAGACTGAGACATACATTTACTATAATTTCGAGCAAACAAATAATTGTTTTTAAGTGTTAATCTTGTTAAATTCTTGTTCAAGTCCTACCGTGCAGGCTCCCGCGACCGCCATTCAAGTCAAGTCAAAGTCAAAGTCACTTTATTGTCAAAAACTGCAATATGTACAGGACATACACAGGATTGAAATTACATTACTCTCAGACCCCGGTGCAACAATAACCATTTAGCATTAAAACATTTAATAAACATAATGGAAATGGTAAATGTAAATGGACTGCACTTATACAGCACCTTTCTATCTTATCAAGATACTCAAAGAGCTTTGCTCTACAATCTGTGTCCTCATTTACTCATTCATACAGCACTCTACTAGATCTTACAAAGAATAATCAGTGATTTATCACATTCATACACCAATGGGACACATATCAGAGGCAACAAGGGGTTCAATGTCTTGCCCAGGGACACTTCGGCATGTGACTGCTGTGGGGTTCGAACCCCCAACTCTTGCATTGGAGGATGACTGCTCTAACCACTCAGCCACAACCGCCCACATAAGCATAAAATGAAATAATAAAAAGCATGATACTGTCTTAAATTGTACTATAGCGGTATTAAAAAAATATTTTAAAAAGGATATCTATAAAAATAAAATGAAATGAAGGTCCTGGCATATGAAGTGAATGTACAAAGTATATGTATGAAGTCCTTGATATTGGTGTAGGTAAAGTGACATATGCAATAAGGCTAGTAAAAATATATATATATATCAGCGGTAGTGATTCGGCAGCCCATCGGATTTTGGCACAACACCGGTCCATATTTCCGGGTTGTCGGTGGTGACGTGTAACAAACGCAACACGTCAACGGTGACACATAATAGATGCGACGTATACGGCAAAGCTACATATTTATGGAATTTTCAACTTTATTAGACAAATATGGACTGATGTGACTTATAGGGCGGTGTGACGTGTCCGTCGTAAAATACGGTAGTCCCTTGTTTATTGCAGGGGATCTGTACCTTGAAGTCCCGCTATAAGTGAAAATCCAAGTAGTACAAATAGTAAGTAGTAGTTTATTTTAGTAGTTTTATATATATTTTAAACCATATATATATATATATATATATATATATATATATATATATATATATATATATATATATATATATATACATATAGGCGTTTTAAACCATTCCCACACTCCTGCAATATTCATTGTTTCTAAACTCTAAATGCTCTAAAAGAGCACAGCATGTCATGATTTCAGCTCTCTGCCTCTGGCTGCACTCTCAGCCACACCCACTTCTCTGCTGCAGAGCAAAGATATGACACACTGCAGGAGGAAGTTTCTCCTGCAGTTGTGGGCTGTACACAGGTGCAGCAGGTGCTAAATAATTTTAATTAATTTATTTTAAATAAAGAATACATGCCAATCATGCGGCTCATCCATCAATCAGCCATTGTGTGTCAAGTCCAATCTTACTTTGAAAAACCGCAATTGAGCTAGTCGAAAAATGAATCGCGAAGTAGCGAGGGACTACTGTATTACAATTCTTTTTTAGTTGACTTGTTTGGAGAAACTGGTTTTAATTTTGACCAATCTCATGAACCATATGCCAGTTTGAGCTGGGCCATAAACAAAGTGGATTGCTGTTACATGAAAACAACTCCAATCTCAAAATTGTCATAGCTGTTGACACAAATGCTACTTTATAAACGTTTACACTGCCATCAGTTTTGTATCAGATTTTTGCCCCAGTGAAATATTTTAACATTTTATTCTATATCTTAAATTGTCTTATATAGCCTTTTAGTTTTTATGCCATGTGCTGTTGAGCGCTTTGAGTTTCAGTTGTGTTTTAAAAAGTTCTAAATAAATAAAGTTCAATTTAATAGAATATATTCCTGCTGGAAGTGACCCAGGCTGCACCACACGGCAACTACATGTAAATACTAATGTGAAAGTGATGGCAATGTTCAATATTAAAACAGTATTCTCTTCAAACCGAGCTCATTCTAAGAGCTATCTGCAACAGGTAAGATATTAACTGTTCGTAACCTTTCCACAGAGCTCCTCATCCAAGTATCCAAACTCTCACTTTACACTAACGTCATTGTGGGTGGGAAGTGTGAAACTGTTAGTTTTGCTCATGATTTAAGTTAATTTTCACTCTGTCTGAAGGTGTTGGCTCGTTCTCATGTAAGAATGCTGCGTTAGCTTAAAAACATGAGACGGAGCGTGAATGTGCAGTTCAGAGGGGCAGAATACAACTGAGCGTGTAGTCTTGCACATTGCTGCTCAGGTTTAGTAGAAAAATACAACATACAAGTTTAGGGCTGTGATTCTGTCAGTGCACAAGCAGGAAAGGGTGTGCACAGAGACATCATAAGCATCTTGATTCATGTATTGGAGATGTTGTTATTGTTTCCATCCTCATGGTGGCATCAAGCATGTTAACTTCAGCTGATAGAAACACACATGGTGCTAATGATAGGGGCCTGGGACAGGAGTTACTACACCCGCCACACAGAAACAAGAGCCCGAACTGCCGATCCTCTGGTCTACGTGGGTGTTTGTATGTCAGTGTGTCAGACAGCTCGACTCTGTTGAGTTGGTTTGTGTTTGTGCGTCACGATGTTTTAGCTCAGCCCTGCACCATGCTGGCGGAAAATGTGGGAAGAAAATAAGATTCAGAAGCCAGGAAGGAGCCCGCAGTAATTATCTCTAGGTGAGAGTTTATCTGAATTCTCTTACTAATGTGTTCATCTGTTTTCACCTGCTCTGCTTCAGATCAGTGTTCAAAGGCTCGGCAGTGTGCGTCTACTCCATGGCCGACATCCGGATGGTCTTCAACGGGCCGTTTGCCCACAAAGAAGGGCCCAACTACCAGTGGGTGGCATACACAGGGAAAATCCCTTACCCTCGACCTGGCACAGTGAGTTTATACAGCACAGAAAGTCAGTTTTACCAACATCATCGACTCGCACATGGAAAAAAAGATAAATCACAAAGGAGCGGGTTTGACCTTAAAATTTCCATCTGTCAATAGTGTCCTGGAGGCACTTTCACTCCCAACATGAAATCCACAAAGGATTACCCTGATGAGGTTATCAACTTCATGAGAAACCACCCCACCATGCAGAATGCTGTATACCCGGTGCACAAGCGTCCCCTGGTGGTCAGAACCAACGTGGATTATGAGTTCACCTCCATTGCTGTGGACCAAGTGAGAGCAGCTGATGGGAACTACGAGGTGCTCTTCTTGGGCACAGGTCAGTTCTTTAAGGTCATGTTTCCACTCTGTTGTGTAGCAAGGTGTACGAGTTTATAGAAGGTATTAAAAGTGTGAAGTGTGCCAAAACTAAATGCATTATTAAGACCAAGTCTTTTGGGTTTTTCAGATCGCGGGACAGTTCAGAAAGTGATTGTCCTGCCAAGAGACGACCTGCAAACAGAGGAGCTGGTGCTGGAGGAGGTGGAGGTGTTCAGGGTCAGTTTTGTAATTTTTTTTGTCTTAAAATACGTTCATGCTGATTTGCTTTACCTGTTACAAAAAATAAACAATTTAGGCAGTTCCTTATGCTTGTGTAAAACTAATTGTGTCTCTGCAGGTTCCCACTCCAATAACCACCATGAAGATTTCATCCAAACGGGTAAGTCACCTGGCACTGTCTTAGGACAAGTAGCTCAAATAATTTTGTATTTGCTACAAAGAACAGATAATTGTGTGAATGCTTACTAAGCATTCACACTATTGTGATCCTATTGCCACTTCTAAATTCTTCCACATTTTTCAGCATCTTTCTTGTTCCACAATTTTTGTGCTACTTCAACAAATCATAAATCAAAATGTTCAGCTCTTTCAGGACAATCTTGTCATGACTTTTGTTATTGATACAACTTTAGCCTTTTGAATTATTTAGCCTTTTCTGCAATTTTTTTTTCTCATAGCAAATGAATTGAGCTCATTTTATATCCTTCAAATCTTTAGATCTGTTTACAACCTTTTACTGCTCCTTTCACATTTTGTTCTAGTTCAACTTCTTTCAGCTTCCTTGTGCAAACAAAACAAAACAAAAAATCAGCTATTTTCAGCTAATTTCAGCTGTTTTGTGCTCCTTTTAGTTTCTTTGTGCTAATTTCAGATTTTTTTAAGAAAATTTCCTATTTTTTTGTGCTCATTCCTGCTTCTTTAGCCAAATTGTGTACATGTGTGTTCTTTTTGCTTTCTTCTACTAATTTAAACGTGTTCTATCTGATAAAGTCAGATAAAGTCAAGTTTTTGGTAGTAATTTTTGCTACTTTCAGCCTAATTAACTTCTTTATGCTAATTTCATTTTTTATGCTCCTTTCAGCTTTTTTCTGCTATTTTCAGCTTTTTCTGCTATTTCAGCTACTATTTAGCTGCTTTATGCTAATTTTAGCTTTTTCCACTAATGCCACTTTTTTTTTAGATCATTTCAGCTCTTTCTACTTTGTAGTAGTTTAAGCTTCTTTCTGGCTTTTCAGCTACTTCTAAACAATTTTTTACTAATTTCAGCCTTTTTTTTTTGCTAATTTCCTATTCTTTGTGGTAATTTCTGCTTATGTCAACATAATTAAGCAATTATGTGTTCTTTCCGCTTTCTTCTGCTAATTTAGGAATGACTCATGAATCGCTAACCAGAATAATCACTGTGAAAATCATATCATGTTGCTGCTGATCTGTTTCATGTTGCTGCTGATCTGTTTCATGTTGCTGCTGATCTGTTTCATGTTGCTGCTGATCTGTTTCATGTTGCTGCTGATCTGTTTCATGTTGCTGCTGATCTGTTTCATGTTGCTGTGTTCATGCGTGCTCATCTGCTCACTCAGACTCATGTTCGTGCTGATGTTCGACATAATGTTTTTATGCTGTTGTGCTTAGTATATATATAGTTGATGTTTTTCCTAGTTCATATCTTATTTCTGTTTTTATTTTACTTTTTATTGATGGATGTAACTGGGACCCTGTGTACATAATGTCGTTCCACCACATGTACCACATGGGGTGCGCATGACAAATAAAGAACCTTGAACCTTCTTCCATTTCAGCTACATTTCAGCATGTTTTTTCCTACTTTCAGCTGTTTTTCACCAAGTTCTTCTGCAATAAGCATTCACACTGCATTTTCTCAGGAAATGACATTTCTCTGGTTGTAGCATTTGAAGGAGAAATAAATAATTTGTTTTACCATAAATGTGCCATTATAAAAAGTTACAACAATAAAAGTTGATTGAGAGATTAGTAATTTTCATGTCAACTTTTGGAGATTGAGGATTGTTGAGGAGCAAATTACCTTATCAACGCTGGTCATAATCCTTGAAACACTAAAATACATAAAACTATTTTTGATTATTTGCACAAAATATTTAGATTAATTTTCTTCTTATTCTGAAAAGGCATAGTTACAATCAATCCATCTTCTTTACTTTTACAAACAGGATCACATTTTCCTCAGTTAGGACAACTGAACATGAATTTTCTAAACAAGTAATTGAAGAATTTGTTTACTTAGAGCTTCATCTCCAATCTTAATCCAGCAGCTCATACAGTCTTTCTTTGTTGCATCTAAAAATACAATTTGAAGCATCAGATATGTTTCTATGGCAGAGCTACAGTATATTCATTATTATTTTTGTTTGTTTCAAAAGCAACAACTATATGTGGGATCAGTTGTGGGTGTGACCCACCTGGCTCTCCACCGCTGTGACGTGTATGGGGAGGCCTGCGCCGACTGCTGTCTGGCCCGGGACCCGTACTGCGCCTGGGACGGCAAATCCTGCTCCAGATACTCTGCCTCCCAGAAAAGGTGAGGCTTTTAGAGGGCACAGAACAGGACACACTACTACAGCCAAAATAATCATGTAGTTCCATGTAGCACATAATGAGAACATGTTGATGTTGAACTTTTTATTTTCGGCTCTCGATCCCCTCTTTTTAGACGGAGCCGCCGGCAGGATGTAAAGTATGGAAACCCAATTCGCCAGTGCAGAGGTTACAACTCCAACAGTTAGTATCACTTTGCTACGGAGCTCCAGACCACACACAAATCTCTAAATAAAAGTATTACAGACTAGTTACTTCACATATTCTCTTGTAGACAATAAGAACACTCTGGAGATGGTTCAGTACGGGGTGGAGGGCAGCACAACCTTCTTGGAGTGTCAGGCTCGATCTCCTCACGTCTCTCTGAAGTGGCACCTCACGAAAGAAAACAGCGACAGGAAGAAAGAGGTGAGACTTTGATTGTGACACAGTCATACGTCACTTAGACCATTTACTCAAGCTACTCTCTTATTACTGTTTTTCTTTTACATTTTATTGTTGGATGTAACTGGGTCCCTGCATACATAATTTCGTTCCACCACATGTACCACATGAGATGCGAATGACAAATAAATCCCTCTGACTCTACAGTATTTGCAATTTTGAGGTACTTTTACTTAGGTGCTTTCTACTGTGCAACACTTAAGTGACTGATTTAGTTGTCAAGTTAATTTGCTGTAGTGCATTTGTTAGTTTTTTGGCCTCTTATAGCTCACTAGGGTATGATAACTTTTCAAAATTGGATTTTTTTTTTAAACAAATACTATTTATTGTGGTTTTATGTCACAAATGGTATATATATATATATATATATATATATATATATATATATATATATATATATATATATATGTGTGTGTGTGTGTGTGTGTGTGTGCGTGCGTGCGTGCGTGCGTGCGTGCGTGCGTGCGTGCGTGCGTGCGTGCGTGTGTGTAATTCAACCTTTATTTAGACAGGTTAATCCCATTGAGTCTCAGGGACTCATTTACAAGAGAGACCTAATTTTAACAAAGAATGATGACAACAATGGATAACACACAGGCAGGCAGGCAGGCAGGCAGACAGGCAGGCAGGCAGACAGGCAGGCATAGATAGATAGACAGACAGACAGACGATGATAGACAGACAGACAGACAGACAGACAGACAGACAGGCAGGCAGGCAGGCAGGCAGATAGATAGATAGATAGATAGATAGATAGATAGATAGATAGATAGATAGATAGATAGATAGATAGATAGATAGAGAGAGAGAGAGAGAGAGAGAGAGAGAGAGAGAGAGAGAGAGAGAGAGAGAGAGAGAGAGAGAGAGAGAGACAGACAGACAGACAGACAGACAGACAGACAGACAGACAGACAGACAGACAGACAGACAGACAGATAGACAGATAGATAGATAGATAGATAGATAGATAGATAGATAGATAGATGTGTTCTATTAATCCCCAGTGGGGAAATCAATTAGCCAGGGAGCAGCTGGGAGGGTTTGGGGTCTTGCTCATGGGCCCAGGGTGGAATATTCATAATATTGGAAGAATCTCAAACAGAAAACAGTTTTGTTGGTCCGAATTTTGTTTTTTTTTTTCTCCTTTTCTATCTAACTCATAAGTAATCTGTCCGTTGCTCAGACTGATCTGGTGTCACTGTTTGTAAAACTGTAGGAAATGTTATTTAAGACAGATCCACGTTCAGCAGTTTGTACAATAAAATGCTGGCAGCACATTGGTGTTTTTATATTACAAATGTCATATAATTTTCAATATCAGTCAAAAATACTGATGTGCTATTACTTGTAGTTTCAATAAATTTTGATGCTAAAGCCCACATAATTCTGCTTTTTAATCATATTTTTCTGCATGACTTATTCATAAATATGTACTTTATTGCTGTAGAGGTTATTTTTCTCTAATGTTAGTCAGCTACATCCTTTTCTATCATTCATTTATGAAAAAGTGCTAACCTTTGGACATTTGTAAGTAAAAAAAAAAACACTTTTGTTCTCTCCAGATTCGCTCAGAGGGTCGCATCCTGAAAACAGATCAAGGTCTCCTGATCCGTTCTCTGCAGTCCTCAGACAGCGGGTTCTACCAGTGCACATCCACGGAGAAGAACTTCAAGCACACTCTGGTGAAACTGCAGCTCGTGGTCCTCTCCAGTCGCACGGTGAACAACGTGTTGGTGGAGACGGGCAGCCCGGCCCTCCCGCCTCTCCAGTCCAGCACCTGGACTCCGAGCGTGGGTCAGTACAAAGACCTGCTAACCATCCTGAGCCAGCCAGAGATGGGGCTGATCAACCAGTACTGCAAGGATTACTGGCAGCACGGGGACGGAAACCTCGGGGACGGCAAAGCCAAGAGCATAAAGGAACTGAAAGAACAGAAAAAACCTCGCAACCGCCGACATCACGATGATCAGACAAATTCAGCCGAGACATGAAGAGCTAAATACACCTCCTGTTTGTTCAGACACCACCCTCGTCCACCTTTACTGTTCTGTTCTCACAGCCTCCCGGACAATTCAACCCTCCTGTTAATGGAACAACAGACTCTGCAGTGGGAAGCATTTAACACTTTCTACAAAACCGTTGGAGAAAAATATTTATTGTAGGTTGTAAAAAATTATTATTTGTACCTATATATAGAAAACATGTTTTCTTTTTCTTTGTGAATAGATCAAATCTGTGCAGATATTGTTATATTAGTGTTCTTGTTAATCACACTGTGTTATCACGTTGAGAATATCTTTGTGTTTTTTCAAACAGCAACACTTTTACCCAGGACTTTTAAGGGTATCCACAAACGGACTTGGACCCAAGAGCTTAATTATTTGAGGTGACCATGTTGGATCAATTGACTGCTGGCAGTACTCGGTATCGAAGGTCAAAGTTGAGTCAGGACTTCCCTGGATCTCTCCAACTTCCCCACATGTCTTCAAAAGAATAAGCTACAGTGAAGCAGACCTTTATTTCAGCAGCAATGTGGCAAGAAAAAGACATTTCACGTGATGTGAGGATGATAGAAAAGCCCACAGACTGCAACTGTGACAAGATGTCACAAACACAATAAAACCATGTGAATTTTAGGCACTTTGTAGCAAATATGATCTTTTCTTCCACTCCAGACTGGTTTTAAGTGAAATTCTTGATTCACTTCTTCATATTCTTCCATAAGTTGCTGCCACGTGTTTGTTTTGTTTAGATGTGAATGTCACATCTCAGTGTTGGGTTCTCAGCATCTTTGTGATGAGCTGTTGTTTTAAAGCGGGAGGTTATTTGTAAAGGCACAGAAGCTAAATAACATATTGCCTTGTCTTCTCTCTTTACGGAGATTTAATATTCCAGCAGGCAGCTACAATGTGAGTTTGTGACAGCTTATTGTGATAAAGAAAATTTTGACAAAGCACCTTCTGTTGCCAAATTGGTACCTTTTTTTTAAATCAATCTTACAGTAAATATTGTTTTTAGACACAGAACAGTATATCCATCTAGGGCAAAGATTTTATTTTATTTTAGTTTTTGCATTCCTCCCATTTTAATGTAAATACTGGTAAAAAAAATCTAAATACACGCGTGCAGATTTATAGTGCTAGGGGTTTGATTAATATGATTGGTGCTGTACTTTCTGTATAATCTGGTCAAAACAGACATTTTTTTGTGTGCTGGTACAAAGCAGTCCTCGTACTTCGTTACTGGTGCCACAAACTGTAGAACTGAGCAACTTTGACACAATAATTAAAAAACAACTAAACATCACAGGTTCGACCACTAGCAAGAGGATCCCCACCTCGCCTGAAGTGGAATCTAACCCACAACCTTCAGGGTGTGGATTTTCATTGTGCATGGCATGTACAGTATGTTGATGGTGTTTGTTTAAAAATGCAACGTTGCTGTGGATGTCAGTGGGTGTCTGTTTTATTGTGGGAGTACAGATCCTTTTTTTAATAACAGGAAGATGCTGAAAGTTTAGAAAGATTGTGAATTTATTTTTTGCTCTCTCAGTCTTGGGAGAAGAAAAAGGAAACCAGTTTGCATATATATTTCAAACGTGCATCAGTTTTCTCTGTTTGACAGCTCATAATGTACAGTATGCACAGTTGGTGTTCATGTAATGACTTGTAAAAACGACTCTTTTCTTCCTCATCAATGTTGCTAACTAATAAATTAAAGCTCTATATTTTATAATAAAACATTCTCTTTTGTTTGCCATTGGCCAAGATATTTCTCTCTCGCTGCCATTAAAGGCAAGTGAGCATTCAGCTGCCTCTTGTTCGACTGTTTGTTAGCAAAATATCTCAGTAACTACAGAACAGATTTTAATAACACTAGTAGACTGCAGCTTTATTGTATTACCAATGATATTTAAGTATTGAATGATACTGCAGTTAGATTTACAGCAGTTATTCATCTATCTCCTTTAAAAAGCAGCAAGCCTAAATTTTATGCTTAAATTGACTAATCTGCAGAACAAAAGATAAGTAGATGAAGAAAAAAATGTAACTGAATGTATATAAGAAATGGGTTAGTATGTGTACACACACTGCAGGTTGGTGCACGCATAATTGAAAGTGAGTAGATTAGGATCCTTAACCACCTTCAGATTTAGGTCAATGAGATCTGGCTGGTGAAACTGCAAATCCCTTCAGAACTCACCCTTTAATCTGTTGCATCCAATGTAAAATGTGTTTTATATATTTTATATATTTCCTCATTGTTGGCATATGGGTTGCAGGTTAAGTTGTGTATTTTGCTGAGCTGTTTGGTTGTTAACTATAGCTGAGCTGATATAAACTTGGTTCTAATTAGAAATTGTAGCAAACAAACCACACAAGTCCAAAGTAATTCTCCCAGATTTTATCAACATGTTCATACATTGGTTGTTGAAACACAAACAATATTTATCTTTACGTGCTTCTTTTTCCAAGGCCTCTAAGAAGAGCATGAGATAAGCACTTGAGCCGATGTTCATCTTCCGCTGAGCACAGCAAAGTACCCTAAAGGTTAGAGCACTCCAACAGTGATGCCTGCTTCTCTTTGCAACTCTGCCCTATACCGCTTGTCCTTGTGCACCATTGGCCACCACTGATCAGGTGGGCAGAAGGTGCCCAAAATCCTTTTCCTAAGACACGAGAATACTCCAACCTTCTCTGGCTGCAGGCAGTTCACGTATCAGCTGTGCAGTTGAAGGCACAGGTCCGACAGAAGCAGGCGAGCAGCCAGGACCTGCTTCCATTTTCCTCAGATTCTTGGCTTTTAAACTGAGGGACCCAAGCCGGGAAAAAGTAGGATGGGGGCCGGAGCTAGCGCTGAGGAGAAGCGCTCCAGAGAGCTGGAGAAGAAGCTGAAAGAGGATGCTGACAAGGATGCAAGAACTGTGAAGCTGCTGCTGTTAGGTAAAGAAGCACCTGTCGGCTCAGTGAGAATGAAAAATGGTTGATGTGTTTTAACAGGTCACTTCAGTATCAGATCTAGCTGTTTGTGGATGTTTAAAGGTAATAAAATCCTTTCAAGTTTGGCATTTTTAATTTAAAAGTAGAAAATGCAGCTGTTATCTCCAATCTGTTTTCAATAAAATAAAATGTTGGGTTTGAGGGAGAAAACACTTTTTTTCTTGATTTTATTCATATCGTACATGTAGATTAAGTGTTTGTGACTGAAACTGAGACGCTCGGATAATCACACAAGCCAGTCTTGTGTTAATCCTGGCACAGCCAGTCTGACAGCACAAAGGGCTTAACAACCAGCCAGCCCAAAAAAGGACTATAGTGCTATAAATGATCAGTCTCAAGTGATTTTCTTTGAAATTATTGAACACTGTCAGGTGGCGCTGAAGTCTGAGTTTAGTTTTGAATAAATCTAGGATGAGTGTCATGGTACCACAGTGGCTAGAACTGTTGTCTCACAGCGAGCTCACAGGATTGCCCCCTGGTCCAAAGCTTTTCTGTGTGGAGTCTTCTAGTGCACTCGCGTTTTCTCCGGGTGCTCTGATTCCCACCCACAGGCCAAAAACGTGCATGCTGGGTTAATCGGTAACTCTTAATTATCCCTACGTTTGGGTGAAAAAGTGAATGGTTGTTTTCCTCAATTGTCTCCTTGTGTCCTTGTGATGGACATGTGACCTGTCCAGGGTGTCTCCCGCCTCTTGCACAGTGACTACTGGAAACAGGCACCAGCTCCCCCGTGGAAAAGAAAAATGGGTATGAAAGGATGGATAAAGATCATTATAAACAGAAAAGTGTATTTATACAAACTGCAATCACTCTGAATTCTGGATACTCGCTCAAAGTTGCAGAATGCAAATTTGCCTGGCCATGTATACACAATAATGTCAGCGCATTCCAGATATTGATTCATGCTCATCATCAATTTCAGCGCCGTCAGCCTCCCAGTAATGTAGGTCAGGGTCACGGAAAAAGATTAGGATGACTGTAAGAGGCATTATGATCTGCTGGGTTCATCTGTCTGATGAAATAGGTCACACTCTATCACACTGAAAACACTGACATCCATAAAATTAACCAACGTATCAGGGTTCTTGAAATCCTGTAGTATTTTTGATATCCTTTAACTACTGGCAGAAAAGCACAGGTCTAGCATTTCTCATGACTGTTTTCTTCTCTCATGAAGGGGCTGGAGAATCAGGCAAGAGCACTATTGTCAAACAGATGAAGTAAGATGTTTGCCTTTAATACGAAGCACCATTTCATTTCTATGCTTGACTGTAATGATTACATTTTCTCTGCAGAATTATTCACAAAGATGGTTACTCACTTGAAGAATGCTTGGAGTTTATCACCATCATCTACAGCAACACCCTGCAGTCCATCATGGCCATCGTGAAGGCCATGAACACGCTCAATATTAACTACGGCCACTCTGATCAACAGGTAACATATTTCCTCTTCTGGTTGAAATAGTCTCAGCTTGCTTGAAAATCACCACCCAGAACTTTTGTTGCGCTTCTTACTGCAGGATGACGCCAGAAAACTCATGCATCTTGCAGACACCATTGAGGAAGGAACCATGCCCAAAGAAATGTCAGACATCATTTTGCGCTTGTGGAAGGATTCAGGCATCCAGGCATGCTTTGACAGGGCCTCAGAGTACCAGCTCAATGACTCAGCTGGATAGTAAGAGCTCGTAAATCTAATTTCATGTCTCATGTGATTATTGCTCACTGACTAAGGCACATTTTCACCTAGCTACCTTAATGACTTGGAGCGACTGATCCAACCAGGCTATGTGCCCACTGAGCAGGATGTGCTGCGATCAAGGGTGAAGACCACTGGCATCATCGAGACTCAGTTCTCCTTCAAAGATCTCAACTTCAGGCAAGTTTGTGCAAGAATAGTTATATCTGGGCTCCAGAAAAGCAATTTGATAACAAATGTATGGGGTGCCGTTTGTAAAGTTACACAGTCAAAAATTAACAGCAATATTTTGGTTTATTTGGTCTTTCATAAGAAAAAATAGCTTTTTTTTTTTTTTTCAAAGTCATATTTTCACCATGTTATTCATACTAGGGATGCACGATATTGGATTTTTGGCCAATATCTGATATGCTGATATGTTAAAATTTATTCGGCCGATAACGATGCCAATATTTTATATACTTTCCTTTGTCAGAACATAGCCCTCTTATTTAAGCTTATTTGCTACAAAAATTGTGCAACAGCTGCAAGAGCTGGTGACATATATTCAGTAACAACCATATGATATGCATAGCACTTTAACTTATACTAATTGAAAAGTGTTAAATGTTATTTATTAGCATTAGTCACCAGTGATGCGGTCTCACTTGTGGAGGCTTGTTCCAGGTTCCTAGCTGCAGTGTGGGATCCTCTGCACTCCTGTGCATGAAGGACAGACTTTTTAAGTTCAAAGTTTTTGTCAATCCATTGTGTCGTAAGACTAATCATGCTAACAGGACTAACACGACGTCCAGATGTCTGTGGTAAAACTCACCCAACAAGTCGTGCTATCAGTTATTAGCTTCTCGATGACGTCGGAAATGACAGCTTGTAACTGGGTAACGTTACGTCGGAAAAATATCTCAGACAGCGAACAATGTAGCGAGGCTCATCGTAGTCCATAAAACTTTGGAATCCAACATCCTCACCAACAAAAAATAAAACTTCTACACTGCCAACATTTTGAATTTAGGTATGGCACAATTGACATCATTGCGTTGCGCTGTCGCTGCAACGTCGTCACGTTGTGCTGCCACTGCAGGCCAAAACAGTGCCTTTTATATCGGTGAGTTATTTTAATGGAATGTCTGATATTGAAATTTAACGTTAATATCGGCTGATACAGATACCATGCCGATAATATTATACATCCCTAATTCATACATTTATAAATGTCATAGTTCAAAACTAAATGTTTAATTTACAAGCTAAATATTTAGTTTACAAACTACTTAACTTGCAAGATAAATATTTAGTTATTAAACTACATATTTAGGTGTAAATTAAATATTTAATTTCCAAGCTAAATACTTAATTTCTAAACTAAACATTTAATTTCCAAAATAAATATTTAATTTGCTAACTTAATATGTAACTCTCACCTAAATATTTTACTTGCAAGCTAAATATTTAGCTTGCACGTTAAATATTTAGTTTAGGAATTAAATGTTTAGCTTAGAAATTAAATATTTAGTTTGGGAAATTAAACATTTAGTTTGAAAATTAAATATTAAATTTACACCTAAGTATTTGGTTAACTAACTAAATTTTTAACTTGCAAATTAAGTATTTTGTTCGTAAACTAAATATTTAGCTCGTAAATTAAATATTTAATTTGGAACCATGACATTTATAAACGTAGGAATAACATGGTGAAAATATGACTGAAAAAAAAAAAAACTATTTTCTTATTAAAGGCTAAATAAACCAAAATATTGCTGTTAATTTTTGACTGCGTAATATTACAAACGGCACCCCATACAAATATACGTCTTTTTTTTTTTTTTTTATCTTTAGGATGTTTGATGTGGGTGGCCAGAGGTCAGAAAGAAAGAAGTGGATCCATTGTTTTGAAGGTGTCACCTGTATCATCTTTATTGCTGCTTTGAGCGCCTATGACATGGTGCTGGTGGAGGATGATGAAGTGGTATGAAAAGTTCATCTTATTTTATCTTATTTATAATCAACAATCGGTTTTCACTGAAGGCTCTTCACTGGACTTGACTTTCAGAATCGAATGCACGAGAGTCTGCACTTGTTTAACAGTATCTGCAACCACCGCTACTTTGCCGCCACCTCGATTGTCCTCTTCCTGAACAAGAAAGACGTGTTCCTCGAGAAGATTAAAAAGGCTCATCTCAGCATGTGCTTCCCCGACTACGATGGTGCGATCATCATCGTTTGTAAAGCGCAGCTTATTTTAAAGAAAACGGCTAACGCAAACAAAACTTTGTCTTCGTGTCTTCTCATCTACAGGCCCAAACACTTATGAGGATGCTGGCAACTACATCAAGGTACAGTTCTTGGACCTGAACATGCGCCGAGACATTAAAGAAATCTACTCCCACATGACCTGCGCCACAGACACAGAAAACGTCAAGTTCGTGTTCGATGCCGTAACAGACATCATCATCAAAGAAAACCTGAAAGACTGTGGTCTCTTCTAAGAGCCGGGCAGAGAAACTGAACGAGGGTGAGCAAAGTTAAACAGCTGCAACAACGACCAAAGCCGACCGCTGAAGAGATCAAACCAATATGATTCTGTTTCTTCTTCACAGGATTCTGTTAACCTGTCACATTCCTCGAACCCCATTGGGATTTAATAACTGAAGATGAAAACGATCTCGTCAAAAAAAAAAAAAACATCCTCAGACTAGCAAATGTAAAAACAACACATACATTTCTCTTTGTTGTGTTCAAAACTAACCTGTAGCTTTGACCAAAGACGTTTGTCACCAAAGACTTTAAGAAAACTCTTGTAGTCAGAAAGTCTGGTGCAGATTTCAAAATAAATTTTTAGTCCAACTATTCTTTTCCTTCTATGAAATTATTGGCATATTAAAAGCTTTTTGGTTTGTTTTTGTTTTAATGCACGAACATGAATAGATGTTCCAGCTAACGCACGTGTCTCCAAGCTCCAGTACTCACTGTTCACCAAAACGAGTGAACAAGATAAGCTCACCAGCTACATATGCACTTCAGTCCTGTTTAAACATCGTCAGTAGAAGTGACTTTTATATATAGACACACAAATGTACAGTTTGCAACAGTTTGCAAATGTCTCAAATTTAAGTTTTTTAAAGGAAAGCATTAGAAAATTATTTTGTATTAGATGAAAATGGCCGTTGTACAGAATATATTTTGATTGGGGACTGCCTGGCAGCACCTATTATTATCCACCTGACAAGGGTTTCTTAACTTTAGATCTTACTTGAGCATGCATCAGGATATTTAGATCTTACTCTTCCATCAATTTTAATGTGGCCCAAACCACAATGTGTATCCACACAAATTTTATATCAAAACAACCGGCTTGGCGCCATGATGTGTGCTATTACTTTTATTGGTGTTTCGAGTTACCATGGCAATGTAATTTGCAAACAAAGACGCCATTTTTCTTAGTCATTTTTCATAGACTCTGGTTGCAAATCAAATATCCAAGATGGCCACCTGAGCTAAAAAGAAAAAATACTGTAAATCTAAAAAATGTAAAAAAAAATTAGATATATTACAGTGAAAATTGGTGAGGTAGTAGCAGAGGACAATTTAAAAAAATTTAGATATATTACAGTGAAAATTGGTGAGGTAGTAGCCGAGGACAATTTAAAAAAATTTAGGATGGCTGCCAAAGCTCAATTAAAATGGTTTTAACTCCGCTTGTTTTACACATATTGAGCTGAAACTTGGTGTGGTTGTAGTTGAGAACGTTCCCCGTCACAAACTGACTCTAAATCCAAAATCTAAGACGGTCACCACAGCTTAAAAGAAAAAAAATGACTTAACTCATTGACATTTTAAGCTGGAATTTGATATGGTGGTAGCTGAGAGAGAACCCTAACACAGAATACTGTCGGGTCAAAATTTTAAAATGGCAGCCACGTGGCAGTCCCCATCAAAGTTTCTCCAGGAACTTTCTAGTTTCCAGTATTGTGTTGTGGTATAAGGTTGAGCTGTAGATGTGTCAAAGTTCAAATTAAGAACCATGCGTTAAAGTCTTTAAGTTAATGTTCCTGTACAGAGACGACAGAATAAAAAATGTACAGTTTGACTAAAGTTATTAAAGCTTCTGTAGAAAACTCGGGGCTGCCTGTGTCTTTTTTTTTTTTTTTTTTTTTTACAAAATTACAAAAGTAAAAGCAAAGGCAGTTTTTATCATAATTGTTTATTACATTCAGTACATTATTTCACATTTCTTGAATGCACTGAACAACTTGAGTATCCAAAACTGATAGAAAAAGAAAAACTGTTCAAAACTAGTTTCAAACTTTCCTGTCCTTTGTGTGTCTTGCAGTAAAAAGATCTGCCAGTAAAACTACACATGCTTTCACCCGAAATATTTTGTATTGCAGAAAATAAATGGCTTTAAAATGTAAATAGAAAGATTTTTACACTATTGAAGGTTTACAACTTTATTAAGATGAATTTTGAATGTAGGATCTTAAAAAAATGTCAAAGCCAGTTTATTGTCAAAAAAAAGTGACTGGATTTTTAAAAATCTAAACATTTCACTGTATGAAACCAAATAACAGACGATCTCTCAGAAATCATTGATATGGCCTCAAACTGTTAAAAACAACACTTGAAAAAAATGAATATAAATTGTGGCATAATCCTATAAAGCAGCCCACAGTCCATTTACAAATGAGATGAACCTCTTAAGGACCCCAGTAATGAAACAGAACTTTTTTTCTGAATTGTATGAAGTAATAATGCATATTCTTTGTACACCCGTACCTCAGTGCTGTGATCCTCTGACCTCGAATAACAAACATTGGCATCATAAATACTGAAGGCTCTTCTGAAACATACTGTAGTAGACAAGACTACAAGAAAGTTTATTTCATATAAAAGCATTGGCTGATTTTTGCATTTTGATTCAACCCTGAGTTCTTACTACACGACAAATATTACGTAGGATGTGCACTTAAAAGAAACAGCGAAACAAGCATCACTTATCAAAACATAAGTAGCATTAAAAAAAATATGGCTTAAGAGTTTGTGACGTCCAAAAGGAGGAGTTTCATGTCATTACTGTAGAAATGCACGTAAACATGGAATGAAACAGTTTTGGAACATAAAAAGTTGAATTGATCGTATTTTGTATTGTTATCTAAACTTTATTCGCCGTACAGACCGAGACTAATAGAAGGCACTTTAAGAAGCAACCTGAACTCTGCTCTGGCACAACTTAGTTGCCCTTTAGAAGACATTTAGTCACAATAAAGGCTTAAATTCTGTGTTTTATCACTGAGAAATGTAAGAGCTCATACATATAATGCAATTTACCCTTGCTTTTCAGTTTCCCTCTGGATTAAAAAAAAATATTTTATTTTATTGTTTTACTTCTAATCAATGAATGTAATGAAAACAAATTCTTGCAGAATTCTTAAAGCTGTTTGTACGGGGAAATTAGAGTAAAAAAACAACTCTTGCTTCAATAATAATAATATATGCATAAATCAACTACCAGTTTATTTGCAGCCCTTTATTTAAAAGCCCTGATCTAGTTAAATCAGCTGCAGAGGCACTGATTATCGTGTTTGTTTTCCTTTAGAGGTGATTGTTTCTAGATGTTATGCATTTTATATGTACGAGACAAGATGGCACTGACCCCATAAACTGAGTACTATTATCAAGATTCACAGCTCAGCCGTTATTTCAAACGCACGCTTCTACCCACTCAAACTTCAGCAAACATACAGAATTAGCTCCTCTAAAATCACTTAGTCTTAATTTGTCATCAGATATAAATTAAATGATGAACGACTCCTCATTTTCCAGACAGAGGAGTTGCCATCAATGTTGGCTTCACACTCACCTTCCCAAACTTTTAATTAAATATACTAAATAGTAAGAAAATATTTCTCAGGTTTACGTTAAGTGACCATTTCCTGTTGCGATCCAGAGCAGCCCAACAAACAGCACAAAGATTTTAACTGGCAGGTGTCTCCTCTAAGATCACTGAGCTGAAAGTCACCATGTTCATCCTCTCTTAATCAAAAAAGTCCCACCATGTGATCGATCTGTCTCATGTAGACGCTCTTTAATGGCAGAGCATACCGTCGCTCCTCTGGAATCCTGTTACACTGCAGACACAAATAGACAAAAATAAGACCAAGACTTGTATGTTATTATTTTATTAAACGACACTGATGGGTGAAAACAGGGAATTTGATGATGGCCTTACGTGGCTGATGTTGCGTGGAGGTGTCTGGCTGTTCGGCTCCGTTTCTGCCAACGCTCCCTCTTCACATGGAGACAAATCGTCCCACTGTTTCTCCCTGAAGCGCTTGTCTACAGGCACAACATGCCCCTCGGTGGTAAACATGTACTTGTCAGACTTGTGAAGTGGGTTGTCCTCATCAAAAAGCTGCAATGCAGACAAAAAATATACTATTTAAATGGTAAAAGTAAATGGACTCATACAGCACCTTTCTATCTTATCAAGATACTCAAAGAGCTTTGCTCTACAATCTGTGTCCTCATTTACCCATTCATACAGCACTCTACTACATCTTACAAAGAATAATCAGTGATTTATCACATTCATGCACCAATGGGACACACATCGGAAGTAATGACGGTTCAGCGTCTTGCCCAAGGACACTTCAGCATGTGACTGCTGACGGAATCGAACCCCCAACTCTCCCATTGGAGGACGACTGCTCTAACCACTCAGCCACAGCACAAAGAACAGAATTTTACCCTTACAGACAGTAAGAAATATTTGAAGAGTTTATAATGTGAATCAATCAATGTATAAAACACAAATTATTAAGTTATCAATGCATCGCAAAAAGTTTTGATGTCATCATATTACAATAGCAACACAAAAGTAGCTCAAGAAGACAAAGATTGCTATGTACATTAGTCCCTTGATACTTTGTGGTTCAACTTTCGCGGACTCGCTCTTTCACGGGTTTTCAGCGTAAGATTGTGCACGATACACGACTGTCAACTTTAATATTACTCACGTGATCGGGACAATATAAAAAGTTAACAGGAGCAGACAGAAGCGGGAACCAACCAATAGGGAAAAAAAAAAAAAAAAAGCTTCAGACAGGTGTGGCCATTTTGTAGTTTTCTTTCAATAAGCCTACACTGTAATGCAAGTCAAAAGAACTACACAGCCCAGAAGCTAACAGTGTTTCCGGCCGCTGCTTTCTGCTGAAATTCAAAGAACATCAATGGAGGAAGCAATCACTAGCAGAGAAACCAATGTGGTAAAGAAGTAACGATCTATTAAGATCACAGAACTAACAGGAAAGTCGCAAATAATTCTGAAGCTGAACTCATCCTTCAAGTTGTAGTATCTTCACTGGTGAGTACCCATATAAAATTCAGCAGTACTGTACAATACTTATACGTATGTTGTTAAAATTACGTAGGTTTAAGAGTTTAGAACATTGTTAACAACATTGCAAGATTGTGGGATGGGTTTGTAAAGCCTTAAAATATACAAAATACTAAAACAAATATAACGTCCCTAATTCACGGATTTTCACTTATCGCGGGGGCGTCTGGAACATAACTCTGCAATAAGTGAGGGACTACTGTATACACTTCATGAATAATTTTATGATCACTGAGCATTATGATCTGTTTCATGTTGCTGCTGAATCTGTTTAAATGTTGATGTGTTCATGTGTGCTCATCTGCTCACACAGACTCATGTTCATGTTTGTGCTGATGTTCAATGTTTTATGTTATGAGTGCTTAGTGTACATTTAGTTGATGTTTTTCTTAGTTCATATTTTAGATGTTATTATTGTTTTTCTTATACATTTTATTGTTGGATGTAACTGGGACCCTGTGTACATAATTTCGCTCCACCACATGTACCACATGAGGTGCGAATGACAATAAAGAAACTGACTGATTTTTCATAAAGGCTTTGAAACCAAAAGTTGCATACTTGCAAAACTACCACTAGATGGCAGTAATGCCTCAATTGTAGTTCTAAAATCGGAGCAGCGTGTTCATCTCCAGGCAAGGAGGACCTGTGTGTGATGGGGGGGGGGGGGGGGGGGGTAATCACTTTAACACAATTGTTTTACACTAAATGGTAATTCTAATTCTTCTAAGGAACGTCATAAAAAGCTGAATAATTAATTTGTTCTTTTGAACCAGAGACACATTTCAAACACGCAGGGTGGCATGCCCTGAGAAGCAAAGTTGAGAATAATCAGAAGAAAAAAAAGAAACAAGTTCATAGATGTCTAAAATCTCATATCAACCACAATGTTTTCTCACATGCACAGGGTGTAACTTACCAGGTAAAGGTATTTACAGGTCTCACTGAGGAAGAAGCTCTCCATGCGATCCTCTTTGGACTTGTCCACAACGTGATGGAGCGTGGCATACCCACATCTGCAAGATGACAGCTCACTTCAACCCAAAGCTGACGTGCAAAAATATTTCTACTGAAAAGTCAAAAATACTTTACTTTTAATATTAAAAATGTTTCTATGATCCACACCTGACTTTGGCATTTGTCTCGAGGCTTTGAAGAATATCCATCCCAACATGCAAGTAGAAAGGATTTTTGGTCGCCTGTGAAGAGAAAAACAAAATAAAACTTGTGTCAGAGACAACAATCTACAAAAAACAGCTCCTCTCACATTGTGCAAACGGAGTTTAGCGATCCTACCTGATACAGCAGGTAAGTTGACTCAACCAGCTCCGGTCTTAAAGGATAAAAAAGCACATCAGGAGCTTGAAGCTGCCAGTTGTATCTTTCCGGCAGAGCACCAAAGCGCTTCCAGATAGCATAATAGAAGGCGTGCAGGCAAATGGCATCATCTATATTCCCATTCAGCACCTACGGGGTTGGAAGCACGTTCTTATTTTTGCTTAAAATAACAAGACTTTTCAAAAACAAGACATCTCATTCTAAGGAACTTCATAAAAAGCTGAATTAATTATTTTAAGAAAGATCACAAACTAACCTGCAGCCCTGGAAAGAAGGCCTGAAGGGAGTCAATCCAAGTGTTCATTATCTCGCCACTAAACATATTTACATTAACATACAGAGGCGGGTCACCCTCTCCTTTGTTGCAAGACTCTCGCCTGCAGGAAAAATAAGAATCTATTTTATGTCTCTTCAAAATACATACAACCCTAAATGTGAAGTCAAAAGTGAGTTATGTCTTCTAATGTCAAACTAGCACAAATATTCAAACAACTAATTGCAGCCCACATCCCTCTTCAGAGGGCTGCTGAATGCCACAGAGGATTATTCTCAAAAACACCTTGAAATGATAATACTGAAACTGATAAGCTGTTTTTATTCCTCTTTTTTTAGGCTATTCACCAAAAAGAGACTAATACAATTGCTGTGATTATTTCCTTTTTCAATTACAACTGCAGCTCACTAATGCTGGAAACACAACTGACTGGTGGTTACTAAATGAACACAAAACGTGCCACTTCCTTCAGCCTGGGACTCACCCTCTTCTCAGGTGATTCTGTATGCTCTCATAAGCAGTCTTAAACATTCGGTAGTCCTCGTTTTCACCAAAAAGGATGTAGGATTTCAGCAAATATTCATAGAAGGAGTCCATTCCAGCTCCAAGTCCACTCTGCTTACCAACCCACTGGCCTGTTTGGATATTAACGACATTCCCTAAAGAGAGAAACAACAGGGAAAAAAAATTGTAATAACTGGAATATTCAGAAGATCAAAGGATAAATTTAACAAATAAAAAGTGCATGAAGGCAAAAAGAAAGAAATGAGGAAATGTTTTTCACATACAATGCAAGCTCTTACCCAACAAACCAGTTTCGTTACTCCTCAGGTTCCACAGAGCTCTCACTGCCCGTCTCGCCACCCATTCAAATGTTGAATCTCCAATCAAGCGGCTCAGGATCCCGAACTCCACCAGAAGGGACCCAGCTCCTGCAGTGCACGTCTCGTTTATGCTGTCTCGAGGAACTCCAAACCTCAAGTTGACCTACATGAAACATAAAACTCTGATAAGTTTTAATCTTTACAGTATAATCTTTCAGACATGTACTCATATAATGATCATAACAGAATCTTTATCTCTCTCACCCTGGGGTAAGGAATGCCCGTGCTGGTGTTCTCAAAGGCTGGCAGCAGGCGGATAGCCAAGTCGTGAGCCAAGTGCAGCAGCTCATTATCATAATCTTTAAACCCAACATCACCAAAGGGATGCTTTGGGTCAGTCAGCAGAATGTGTGCAGAGATAAGGCTTCCCAAGATCCTTCAAAGGTAGATCAAAACAATACAGAAACATATTTTTATATGAACACAGAAAACAAGTATTAAAATGTGATCTGAAAAAATACCTGATGTTAGCCTCAAAAACTTGTACTGTTGAGTCCTTGTCAAAAGACACGGTATCTATAACCAGTTTGACAGCTCTCTGGAATTCGGTCACATTGCCAAGCACCTGGAGAGACAAAAAAACCCTGCTTAACCACGGTAAACCAAGTTGCTTTTCTCCTGCCTCCATGTTTTGTTTAGGACTGAATGCTGCAGCAGTGCAGGAAAAAGAAACGCAGTTTTATGGTTAACACAGTAACATACTTTACACACCTGATTCAATCAAGAGGAACGTTTGAGTGTCAGAAGACTCACAACTGAGAGCAGAGGAAGTGGTGACCTCCATTGCACCAAACGTAGTGCGAGTTACAGACAATATTTATAATTTTTTAAAAGTTTGAACACTTAAAATGTTTTAGGCTCTTTAAAAACCTAATGGCACAAACCAGCAATTACTTACCAGCTGTGCACAAACTAGTTTTGTAGTTTCAGAAGCAACTTTGCAGAGCGTTTTTTAAGAAACTGATACAGAACCTGAGCGGAAATCAACTTACAAGCAGCGTGTCCAAGGTGTCGATGAGGGTCAGGGAATAGTTCCCCAAGACGTCATTTATGTTGATGTTTGACCTGAAACAACGGACACGGTGGTGTCACACATGAACGGCAGACATTATTAACAATTCAAAAGAAAGCACATTTCAAATCCAACGGCAGCAAGTCAAAATGAGTGTGCACACTCATGTGCTTTGAGGAGAGAGTAGCAGACATTTGTAATAACTGTTTGATATTTTTTTTGTTTTGAGTGATCTCACATGTACACATTCAGGAACTGTGAAAACGTATTTGATTTTTAAAAAAGTGGACCTGAAGACAAACAGTTGTTATGATTATCTGATACACGATTTATTTCATACAAGCTTAAACAAAACTTCAAAGTTCATGCTCAATAATCCAGGTAGAAAAATCCCTCAGGACAGTTTATTTTTGTTGAAATGTTTTGTTCTTCATCCAAAAGACTTCAAACTTCAACAAACTCAGTCTTATAAATAGCACCTTACATAGTGGGTCAACCAGTTTGATGGTGATATGATGGTTTCTGGAGTCTTAGCACCATCAAACTGGTTGACCCACTATGGAAAAGACTGACTTTGTTGTGGCGCCTCGGACTGATGAAGCCTTTTGAGTGAAAGCCGAAACATTTCATCAAAAAGAAACCATCCAGAAGGCCTGACCTGAATACCTGCAGGCTTGCAGTTCCAAGAGCAGGGGTGTCAAGCTCACTTACAAAAGGGGGCCAAAATTAAAACCTTTTTCAAACTAAGGGCCAGTTTCATAATCTACATTAACTCAAGTTAGATACCCAACATTGTTTCATTTGACATCATAATCAAAGATTATTGAAAAAAATTAAAGTGATAAAAGCATTTTACATTTAAAGTAACATCTTGGGGGGCCAGATAAGATGTCAACGAGAGCCACATTTGGCCCCCAGGTCTTGAGTTTGACACATATGTCCTAGAGTTTCCAAAACAGACTGGGAGGAAGATCTTCCAGTTATCAGGCTCCTCTCTTGTGGAACCAACATCCAGTTTCTGTCCGTGAGACTGACCCATTGTCCAGTTTTAAGAGTGGACTTAAGACTTTCATTTTTGATAAATCCTATAGTTAGGGTTGGCTTGTTAAGCTGCCATAGGCTTTGACTACTGGAGGCCAAAATGACCCCATTTCTTAAAATGAATTGTTAAAATTCAAAAGTTTTCATTTGATATTATATTATTTCTATCTTAACATGTGATTCTTGACCTGCCATTGTGTATCTGTTCCTCCTTCCTGTTGCTCTCAAACCCAGCCGGTCGAAGCAGATGGCCGCTTGTCCTGAGCCTGGTTCTGCTCCTCATGAGGGAGTTTTTCCTTTCCACTGTCGCCTTCATGCTTGCTCAAAATGAAAATCTGCGATGAAGTTCAACTCAAAGCAGTCTGTTCCTCAGATAAATAATGTTAACTTACTTTTTATGTCTTTACAGTGCCGTGAGATGACTTCTGTTGTGACTTGGTAATGTATAAATAAAGTGAACTGAATGGATTGGGAGGTAATACACCTCGGAAACTCAAATCCTTCAGCTGCATGCTGTCCTGCTCATGACAGCTGTGTGAGCCCTGACCGGTTCAGTGAACCAGTGACAGCTGTCGTGCACTTAAACCTAATTTGACTATGAAGTGAAAGCAAATAGAGCAGTTTAGATTTGAAAGGATCGGAATGACTCACGGGTTTAGGACGTCTGGACCTCTCCCTTCACAGTCAATGGGATTCAGCTCGTCCTCTGGAAAGGCATACTTCATATAATTCTCGTACCCGAAGTAGAACATGTCTTTGGCCATGCCTTTCATTTTCGCCCGCAGTGTGTCCGGAAACGAGCTGTACCTCCGGACGTACTCGTCCTGGTCCCCGTCGAAGAGGCTCAGGTAGGATCTCTGGGGTGCCTCCTGTCCAACCTTCGCGCAGGTGGTGGTCGCCGTCTCTTCATATTTATGGCCTTGTATTTGTTGAGACCACAGGTTACCTCTCAGGTCGGCTCCCTTTTCCTCCCTGAACAACAAGTCTAATTTGTGCAAATTGAAACTGAGGGGGAAGTTAAACCCCCAGCTGACGTTAGGTCCCAGTCCGAAGGATAACCACAGCACCCAGCTGACAGAGAGTCTCAGTACCACCAGACCAACTACTATTGACCTCCATTGCATCTTTGCCTCGAGTCGATCTTAAAACGCATAATTCAAGTCCACATTACCTCCGAGGCGTCTCCAAATGCGAAACCCGATTTTCGTCGGGCTAAACGGTACACGCACAGTCGAGTAATGAGTCCGCTGCGTTCACTTCCTGTCAACAAACCAACCCCTCCCAGATCCTGAGATGTGATAGGTTACTTACAAGGCGGGCTGTGCGCTGATTGGTCAACGGGAGCTGTCAGTCTTCTCTTTCAGTTTCGTGGCACTCCCGACTTCAGCACCAATAGGAAACGGCCACAAGCGTGAATGGTGAAATCTTCAAACTCGACAGAAAATTTGGTTACATTTACATCCGTTAGGAAGTTTTGTTTAAATTGAAACAGTCCAGCTAATATTTAACTCTGCATAGCCAAAAGTCTTGGCAGTGCAGTTTTAAAACGGATGAATTAGCACACTACCTGTCACTTTGTGCAGAAGCTGGACTACATTCATGAACAAGTGTTTTATATTGCAAAAGTTTTAGTCCTCATCTCACCAACAGATGGTTGACCACATCTTACACCATTCACCATATTTGTGCACTTTGTGACACGGTTTTGTTTCAACCCTAAATGAGCTGCAACATATTTTCAGCTTAAAAAATTAAAACTTAAGTTAAATAAAGAGCTGCACACTTCTTCCTTTTTAATCCATTTTCATAACATTCCCTGGCTCTGTGCAGCTCATTCCTAACTGGCTTATCTGTCCATTTTTGCTGCACCCGTTAATAAAATTTTAATATATACTTTAATTAAAAATATCACCTAAATTAGAAGCATCTGTATAAAGTATATTATTCATACATTGTAACTCAGGTAATAAATGCTTCAGAAATAAACTCCCTAAACTTTTATGGCACGTCTCATAAATTGATTTTGTCTGTATTTTACAGCATCAAGTATGCAAGCGGCAGGGATTTGATTCTTCTCGCTGAGGCAACAGCTCTACCAACTGATCCACTGTGCCGTGCCACCCCTACTTTTTATGTATTCAGGTAAATTGAAGACATTGCTGTTGCTCACCTTAGTTTCTACTTTTTGACTTGATTTACTCATTAAGACATTTCAGTAAAAAGTTTGGAAAAATTTCTGATTATCTTAAATTCATGTCTATTTGTCAAAACATTTTTATCTTTTTAATCCACTCACAATATTGTTGTTTAAGGATTTGCAGCTCTATTAATAACCAATATTAATTTTACCTCACTGACCCTTAGTATCTGTAGTGTTCCTATAAAGGGGTACCATTTGAATTGCAGTGGAACAAAGCCCAGCATTTTTTTAAACCAACTTTTGTTTTTGCCATTTATGATCAAACTATAAAGAATGCTTGTTTTCTAATGAGTTACAAATAACACAGACTTGTCTAAATTAAAAAGCATGCCTTTTTATTCTTTAATATATTGAAGAGGTGTTTGTAACTCTACCTTCCATGCTGCTTTGCTCCAGAGGTTGAGAGATGTTGCAAAAGGCACTTTGAATTCTGCCACTCTCCCAGCCTCGACGCAGCATTTTTCCACTGAAGCCATTTTACAGAGGCCAATACGACTCACACAAGCCTGTACAACTTTACCTTTAGTACATTCAGCCTTTAAATAGAATCATATATTCATACACACACATCCCACATTGGTAAAAATCATACTAGCTTGATATTTGTACAGACCTGCTTCAGTTGACACAAATGCAGTTTTCTAAAAAGAAACATGTCCTGATCAAGCGAAGGGGGACAGTCATCAAAAACAATCACAAAAAAGAGCTCCACAGAAAGGAAAGTTTGTAAATCCGAAAAAGCCACCTACTAGCATCATACCCGCCAGTATGAGCAACATTTCTTATTTCAAAGTCTGTTTAACCAAATTAACACCTTCCTCATTTAATGGTATGCTACAAACCCATGTGGTTAATGCTTGCAGGGGGAAAACAACAGAACAGTTTCTTATCCTGGTTAAAGTACAGCTTTACAAGATGTATAATGCCAATTTCATTCCTTACATCTGGTAGGTTTAAGTAGTGCATTATCTGGGCTTGTAAAATAAAGGAACAAAAACACAAGTGTGAAACAAGCAGAACAGTGCAGAGTGTGAAGCAGGAATATAACTGGACAGCACTGCAGAGTGAGAAGGGTTTGACGTGACAGTAATATGGCAAATACAGCTGGGAAACATCTCCATTCAGCTCCGGCGAGATTTTGAGTGCTGGATGAGCCACTGAAGTGTGATGTCTGAAATCACAGAAACACTCGGGGTCAGCAAAGAAGAATATCAACATTGTTAAAATCATTTGTCAAACACAATGCTACCTCAGTTTATTTGTACAAACATGGCTACACAAACCTCCCTACTATACCACTATTGTTATTATTATGAGTTTATTTGACATGGACAAAGCACACAAACATAGAACAGAACAAGTCTGTGACTGATGCGTTGCACAAAGAGTATATAGCTATTGCTAATTCGCAACTCCAGTTCCTGGTTCAGCATTTCTACGCATTAATATACAATTTATCAATCAAAATACAGTAAGAATACATGTAAGAATACATATGTGTTCCTGCCTACATATTCATGTAATCAACCTTACAACCTCCAAATTCATATAATAAAAACTACACATTAAAATGCGAACAATTTAAAAATCTAGATAAAATAAAAATACAAAATGTTTTTCTCTCTACAAATTCACCTACTTATTTTCATTACGTATTACAGTAGTCCCTCGCTACTTTGCGGTTCAACTTTCGCGGACTTGCTCTATTGCGGGGATTTTTAAGATTGAACATGAGAAAAAAAAGTAATAATTGTACAAGACGCGATTGTCAACTTTAACATTATTTACGTGATTGTGACAGTACTGGATACTGTACAGTAATAACGAAAAAATAAAATACTTCAGACAGGCAACACCATTTTGTAGTTTTCTCTCAATAAGCCTACACTGTATTGCCACTCATAATGACTACATTTCCCAGAAGCACCGTTTCCTTCTGCTGAAATACTAGAGGGCAAGTTTTGATCTGATCAGAAAAAGTTTGGCGCTTATTACAGTGACTTTGGCGCCCAGCGGATGCAGAGAGCCACACGGAACCCACCAGGAACCAGACCAGAACGGGTGCAGAACCAGATATCCAGACTCATCTGTGAATCTTGAGAGCTGGTAGCCAGCCCACGAGGACTTCAGAGCAGGACGCGTGCTGCCAAAGGTCCGGTGCTCCATCTGGAGCTCACCGGGTCTTTTTTCATCTCTCGGATCACCCAATGGAACCACCGGTTCCGCGACGGCCACCCAAAGGTACCCCTATCCCCCCTCTAAAAATGCGCTTCGGCGCTCAAGGGACGCACAGAACTGGAGAAGAACCGGACCTCCAGACCCATTGGTGAATCTTGAGAGCTGGTAGCCAGCCCACAAGGACTTCCAAGCAGGACAAGCGCCGCCGAAAGTCTGGCGCTCCATCCGGAGCCCACCGCCACTGCTAATGAGCAAAATTTAGTAGCTACATAAAAGTATGTTGTTAAAATGACCTAGGTTTAAGAGTTTAGAACATTGCAATAATGTGGGAAGGGTTTCAAAAGTCTGAAAATATAAATACTGTAAATACTAACATAAATATAACGATGCTACTTGGCGGATTTTCACTTATTACGGCGGGGTCTGGAACGTAACCCCCGCAATAAACAAGGGACTACTGTATACTTATTGAAAAGCTGAATTCCAGACTAAAGTTTGATGTATACAAATCACTTTTTTTTTTCCACATATTTGAAAGTGCTCCAAAAACCACCAGTTTGCTCTGACTAGTCAATTCAGCAGTTCAAAAGTAACGTGGCTAATCTTTGTTTTAGACACATAAATCTATCTACAAACACTACACAAACGGTAATTTAATAGTTCAGATTTTCTGAAATTGGGATCTGTGGAAAAGCTATGAACAATTTGCAGTATGACTTACCTGCTGTAGATAAGATCTTTGAATTATCTCTGTTTGAAGAAAAAAATGCAACTTTGACCGGATTCACAAGCTAACGGGTAGGTGGAGTGAAACCAAGACCAAAAAGAATTGCTGCCATCTTTAAATAACTCTTATCTCAAACATTTTTTGGCAGTTCAACAAACATACCCTAGAAAATTCATTCTGACAGTAAGTTATACTGCAGAAAGTGCAGCAGCCGCGAATTGTGCTTGCAAATAATCACAGAAGTCTTACAGAAGACTGATGATGCAAAGATCTTTAAAATGTGTCAACCACTTAAATGGAAACAGAAAAGGTAGAAAATGAAATACTAATTAAAAAATAATAATTAATTGGGTATTGCAGTTATTTTAAGATGACAGCAATTCACTTTGATTGCATTGACTAGCCGTTAGTATGTCAATCATGTCAAACGTTTTTTCTCCAAACTGGGGCCATTTAAAAAGAGATCTACAACAGGTAAGAAAATATTTGTTCATAGTGTTTCTACAGAACCCCATTCAAAACATCTGAATGAACATTTTAAGTAAATGAGGAAACATCTGATCCATAAGCAACACGGTATCACCTGTGGGGTGGACCAGTTTTGTTTTTAACTTTGCAGGCCTTCTACATCAACATAAAAGCTAAACAACAAATAAAGTAAAAATAAAAAAGCTTTCCACTGATCCTCCTTTCCCCAAACAAAATTTTCATTCAACCTTTATTTATACAGGTTAGTCTATTGAGTCATGAGGACTCCTTTTAAAGAGAGACCTGTTTTAAACAAAAAACACAGATAAGGTTCAAACAACAATAAGCAGCTGTAAAATGCATATACAATGTAAAGTAAATAAAAATAGTGATATAAAACAAAAGAACAACAAGCTACATTATTTGGCTATGTAAAATACTAAAACAATTTACAGAAACTTGCCAATGTTGTCTTTCTCTTTGCAGGAAATGGAGTAGCAGCATATCTCTCTGTCTTGAATAGCTGCTAGATTCCTGTAAAAAGAAACAAAAATATGAGGATGGTGCCTTCAGATGTGGATTTCTAACTTGACAGTAGAGGGCGCTCATAAACAGCAAACATAATGGCTGAACTCTGAAGAAGAAATTGACTGATTTATGCAACTTTTAATTAGAAAATCGTTTCCACTGATGTGATGTTAAACATTGGAGTATTAAAATGTACATTCAAACTATGTGTTCATATAAAATAAAGAGATTTTGTAATTACAAACAAAATTTTCCATTAACAATTTTAAGATTTTGCACTTCTTCACTGGGTTTATTCATACTTACATTTTCTCAATGAGTTGTTTTTCATCTAAAGCACTGGAGAGATCCCTTTTGTTACCCAGTACCAAAACCTTAAATAAAATTTAAAAAACTACTATGTTAGTAAAGTTCTAAGCTGTAGGAATTAATCTAAAGAAAACTGCACAAAATTTTCTGCAACTACTACAGAAATACAGATTTTTAAATTGCTTTCAAGTGAACACTTACAGGAATCCCTTGCAACTGAGGTTTGTCTAATAAATTATGAAGCTCATTACTGGATGCCTCCACCTTTTCTCGATCTGCAGCGTCAACCATGTACCTAAAAAAAACATAATCACCATCATTAACAGTTCCAGTGATCTGTCATCTTATATAAAAGTTCTGAAAAGCTTTGGGTACCCACACGATTGCATTAACTCCCCGACAGTACCGCTCCCACATACTCCTGAACCTGGGCTGCCCTCCTATATCCCAGATCTGCCAAACAAAGAGCACAAGATAGGTTATTTCACAAACCAAACCCTTTTATGGTGATAATTTAATAAAAGCAGAGATTAAAACTGAACCTTGATGGTGACGTTTCCTTTAGTGACCTTCCTCATGTTGAAGCCGACCGTAGGGATCATATCTTCACTGAAATGCCCCGACTGAAAAACAGAAGGAAAAAAAAAGAACATTCCCACAAAGTTTGATAAGAATTAGGTTTAGTAGTTCTTGTTATATCTAGTTAAGAGACAAGCAACCACAATTTTACAAAATACAAATTTAAGCTTGGTGGGTGTAAAATTTAAAAAAAAAGAAAGAACTTTTCCTTTAACCGAGTCACTTTGTACAAGAAAAATATCAGAAGCTGCATGGAAACTCACACTTTGTTTCTTTTTTTTTCAAGCTCAATAAAATGATACAAAGTTGTCAAAATAAATAAATAAAATGTGTTTTTTTCTCTCCCTAAAACCAGAATTAAGCTGAAGTTTAAGTATTGCTATTTTTAAATTCCAAGCCAATGGCAAAACATGACCATGTTAATAACTTTATTATGTTAAAAAAAGGGAATTTTAAAAAAAGCCTGTCGTGATAAACAATAAATCAATTAATCGCAAGATAAATGAAAATTATCCACCTCGTTTTCATTTATTGGCATTATCGTTTCTTCGTGTCTCTCTTTCTACTGAAGACACTGGATGAGAAAAGGCTCAACTCCGGTTTTTCACTGACACCTCCCTTTCTCTTTAAAATCTGTTTTAACCATCCAATATCATGTTTTTGGATCGTTAATAGCAGCTAAGCTATGAGCTAACAGGCCGAC